CGTTGGACGGACAGCGACGTTTAACGTGACGGCCAGACGGTCGACTGACTGACTGAGCGGACGGCGAGTCGGAATGCAAAGGAAACAGACGACCGACACACACAGACGGAGGCGGGGACACTGACGGCTGAAGGGGAATGCAGCAGTAAAAGGGAGGAACAATCAACCCCCACCGCTCTCGCTTTAACTAAGCGCTTCTCTTTTCTTGTAGTTTTGCTGTTCTGTTCTCTTTGAAAATGTATGGGAAGTTTCTTGTCGTTTTTCTCTGGGAGAAAGGGGGGAATGCGGCCACTGGCTCGACGGTTAGAAATTGGGACCGGAACAAGAACGGTTCGGTTACCCCTTTAGAATGACATTTGCTAAAGAGTGACGTTTACACCTCTGCAAATCGATATGATATGAATTTGAAGTTGTCCGATTCAATCAACAGACACGAGCTCCGTTGCCGTCTCCTGTACAGTGAAGAATACTCTGCGATGGAGGGTGCAGAGGCAGTGGGAAATGACGCTGCCCCACCACATCCCAGCCCTGAAGTGATCGTCATCAGTGACGACGACGTGAGTGAAGATAATGAGGAAGTTCCGATCACCAACGACTTGAAGCCATTCTCGTGGACTGATGTGGCAGACAGACTGTTGACGCTGGCCAAGAATCGCGAGCTGCGCGACGACCAACAAGCACTGGGAACACTGCTGCACGATCTCGGCATTCCGCCATCAATTGTGGTGCGGCGTTCACTGCGAGCAACGAGCGAGAAGTTAGGAGAGCTACTGACGCTATTACATGGACACGATCGACGGTTCCGGGCAAGTGAAGATCTGGTAATGGTAGTGTGCGAGGTGCTGAGTTTAGCACAAACCGCGCCATACCAGACACAGGCGAAGCAAGAGCACTGGAAGGAGGAAAGCGCTCTCGTAGCTGGTGACAACTACGCTATCGATCAGTTGTATCAGCTAATGGATCATTGGCAGTCACTTGTCGTAGAACTTGCACGCTTCAGCGAATACAGAGCGTGTGTAGTGGGTGTTATCATGTCAAGGTTGGAAAAGATGAGTGCTCACTGCGCACGCGAGATTGAGAACATCCAAGATGCAATGGTGAAGTATGAAAATGAAATGCAGAGTGCAGCAGAGAGGTTTGTAGCAATTATGGCCGATTGCCGGGCTGAAACAGAGAAGCAGTGGTTTGACGCTGACGAGCTGGAGTTGAGAGTGTTTGAAGATACGTACAACAAGACCAGTGACGAGCAGTCCACATATTACGAGAACTGCAAGGCACTCAATTCTTTGGAACACCGTGCACTTGAATTGGAATTACGGCGAAATTTTTTTCAGGCCGCACTAACGCAAGTGTGTGTTACTACGCAGCTAGTGGCTGCTCACGACAACGACGAGCTTTTGGAAACGACTACAGGAGAGCGGATCAACGCACTGGGCAGCGATATATTAGAAAATATGGATAATTTCTGCGAAGCCCTGAAAGCCATCACGGCACTCAACATACATGGGCAGAGTGATCTCGTTGGATCATCACAAGAAGTGGATTTTGCGAGGTCTACCGAGCAGGAGCATCGTCCAGAACTCTTACGTTTTGCGAAGCATCTCGAACAATTTTGGCTCATTCACCAAAACTGGTTGCCACCAATGCTGCTGGATGTGGTCATCGAAAGATTTGATATGCTATCCGAGTCGAATGGGCATTCAACTTGTCCTGTAGCCAACGCTATATCCCGAGTTTGTGGCAGCCTTCGAGCAGGTTACTCGAAATAGTGAAGAATGGTTTGGAATATTTTGGAGTTTTGCTAAAATGTTTTCAGGGTTCTACATTTTTTGTTATCATCGTATTTTCATCAGCTCAGGGGCTGCGAGTCAGACTACGATAGGCATTGAGAATCAGTTTGGAATCTATATAACACCAAGCTTACTCTCCGCGACTGGCTGAGTAGATGGATGGTAAGCTCTGTTGTTGTTGTCTGACAGGTCTGGTCGATTTCTTACTACGCTTTGGTGGTATACTGCACTTTGCTATACGTTGAAGCGGGGGAACAATACACGTACATGAAGGAGAAACTTGCAGGTTCTGCTTGCGATGGCGTACCCGCAGCAACATTTGCATTCGTTCTGAATGAGAACTCCACGTTTCTGCCTGACGCTGAAGTAAAACATTCTCGCGTACTCGCTGAAAAGTTTCCGTCGCCAGTGCAAGTTGCTGTTGTCTTGCTGCTGCAATTAACATTTTCCTCACCTGTTGTCTGTATCGTTGCCAACGCGATCTCCACAGAAAACAACGAACAACTCGCTGCACTACCAATACAGCCTGCCATCGCCTAAGTCGATGCATGAAGCGTTTAAA